TATAATTTTCATAATACAAGTTTAGTCAGTGTAATAATAATTAATTAATTAATTAATATTATTATTATTTGGTTGGTGTTGGCTATACAAATGGGAAGGGTTTTCTAGCTCCTTATAGGGATCAAAGATATCATTTGAATGATTGACATGATGGATACCAACCTACAACAACAAAGGAGTTTTTTAATTTGAAGCATTCATTTGCAAGAAATATTATAGAACGATGTTTTGGGATTTTGAAAGAAAGATGGAAGATTTTAAGTGACAGATCATTTTATCCCATTCAGTTAAAAAATAGGATCATTATGGCATGTTGTCTTTTCCATAATTTTATAAGACAAGAAATAATCATTGATCAATTGGAAGTTATGTTCACATTGGATGAAGGAACATGACATGATGGGGATGAAGAGGAGGATAATATAATTTTTATTGATGCTTCAAACGAGTGGACTGCATTTAGAGATAATTTAGTTGAGTCTATGTTTCAAACTTGAAGAGCTTCCCACTAATTTTGAATTATTGTCTTCCTATATTGTTTGTTTTTGTTTTGTTTTTTTTTTTTTTTTTAAAAAAACTATTTAAGTTCATATTTCTGGACTTATATTCGTTGCAATAATACTACTTCAAGTACTACTTTAGTAAGATTGCAGTCCATACATGTTTCTTAACATTACAAGTTTTGCTATTCAAGTAAGTGTTTATTTTTATCTTATTTCGGATAATACTGCATGCTATTGTTTTTATGTATTTCTTTGAATTACTTAATAATTGTTACAGTTTGCTATATATGTTGCTAGTAGGATTATTTTAAATATACTCATGTATATTGTAGGTATGACGAGTGAAGGACGAAGCTATCGAAAAATATTGAGGAAATAAAACTTGTGGAGGCTTTGGTGAACATGGTCAATGGTGGTCAATATAAAGCTGACAATGGCTTTAAAACGGGATATCTAGCATATTTGGAACAAGTACAAAGCAAGAACTACCAAATTCAGGTTTGTTGGGTAAACCTCATATTGAATCAAAACTAAAAGTAATGATAGAGATTGGCAAATTGTATATGACATGCTCAATGGATCGAATATTAGTGGATTTGGCTACGATCCAGTTACCCATTGTCTGGTTGTTGAACTTGAGGTTTGGTATGCATATCTTAAGGTAAAAAAGTTAAATAATTATTGTTAGCTATGGAGAATTACTATATAATCATGTGGTATGAAACATGTGAATAAAAGAGCTAAAAAAATGGCAAAGCAAAGTGATTCCTTATTATGAAGAGTTGTGCATTGTATTTGGAAAAGACAGGGCTCAAGGAAATGATGTTCGAGATTTTGTTGAGATGGAAAAGGAGGCTGAAAAGGAAGAAGAAACACAAGAGTCTGATGGAGATTCTTTTGAAGTTGTAAAACCAAGTCAAAGTAAGAAAAGAAAAAGCCTAGTTGATCGTATGATCGAAGTATTTCAAGATACAATTATGCTTCTTGACGGTGGAATTGAAAAAATGTTTGATACACTTAGTAAGGGAGTTGAATGAGAGGAAGACTTTGATAATAAGCGTTCTATGATCACATCAGAAATCTCAAAGATGCAAAATTTGATTACAGTTGAAAAATTCAAAGCATGTAAAAAATACAAGCTGATATTGAGAAGGTCAAATTGTTTTGGGATATGGATGAGGCTGACAAAGAGGCTTATGTCAAGTATATTTTGGAGCAATGAATGTTAGGTATCATTTGAATATGAATCTTTTTTGGGTTATTGTTTTGATTGGGTTGCCATAAGACTATTGTGTTGGTTAACTAGTTTATGAATTATAATGAACTATGTTTTAATACTTGTTCAGTTGATTTGGGAATCTATATAGACTCGAATGTCTTGAAATATTACATTATTGTGGCATTTGAATGATGGTATTGTGATGTTATTGTTTTTTACGTCGGCTTGTTGCATTTGCTTAGTTTAGTTGTATTAAATTGAAGTGTTTTAGATGAAGTGGTCATCTAACAAATTTTAAACACTATGAAATAAGATGCTCTCAATTCATAATTTTGCAGCTGCCCATTTTTTAATGTTAATTATTTGATTTGATTTGTTTATTTGAATGTTATTTGATGCTCTCAATGCTAATTATGCAGAATGATTTGTTTTTGTGAATATTAATTATTTTATTTGATTTTTTTTAATATTATTTGATGCTTTCAATGCTAATTATGCAGGAAGATTTATTTTTGTGAATATTAATTATTTGATTTGATTGGTTTTTTTTTTGTTATTTTATAATTAAATTGCATATGCTATTTAGAAAATTGATATATGGGTTTATTTTATCAAAACAAATACAACTTTTTGGGGGACAATTATGTTATTTTAAATATAAAAAATCCAAATCCTTCAATTAATTTGTAAAACAAACTGAATTTGAGAAATATAAGTCCCGAATAATATTACTCACCAAACACATGATATGATTCCAAATCCTAAATACAATATATCCTACTATAAAATCTCAATCTCATAAAAAAAAAGTCATTGAATCAAACAACCCCTAAAAGTATTGAAAACTTCAGACTTGTTTTTAAGGAAATAGACCCATACCTTTCATGTTGAATCATAGATGAACATTATATGGTAGTTTGATCCGCCAAAGGAAGAGAATGATGTTGGTCCATAGACATCAGAGTGAACCAGTTCCAACTTTTGAACTTTCAATGTATGCCCCGTCTTTGTAAAAGAAACTTTTTTTTTCTTGCCAAGCACATAAGGCTCACAAAACTCGGAATCCACTATCTTTAGATCCGGAAGCTTTCCTCTTGTGACAAGCATTTTCATTCCTTTTATGCTCATGTGGCCAAGTCGTTGGTGCCATAAAATAGACGGACTTTGCTTACTGGTTACTGCATTCGCTTCATTTTCAGAGACATCGACCATGTATAGAGTGACTCTCTTCTTGCCTCTAGCAATTACGAGATTGCCTTTGACGACTTTTCGTTGCCCTCCTCCAAACGTGACGTTATATCTTTGATCATTCAGCTGCCCAATGGAGATGAGCATTTTCTTAAGACTAGGGATTACCCTAACGTCCTTCAACGTCCAAATAGTGTCCGAAGGAGTATTCAGATCTATCTCACCAATCTTTGTGATGCCAAAGGAGTCGTTATTAGCCAAACAAACTTTAACAAAGTTACATGTCCATAGATTCTTCATTGTCTTCGTGCTAAAAGTAGCATGGAATGATGCATCAGAATCTATAATCCACGACTCAGTTGAATTCTCAACACAACAAATGAGTGCATCGTCTGAGCTGTCTGTAGTGGCATTCACCTCATTTTGCTATGACAGTTTTGAGAACTGATTTCTAAAGTGCCCATACTCTTTGCAATTCCAGCATTGAATGACCTTCTTTGGCTTTAACTGACCCCTCATTCTGGAATTTGATCGTTCTCTGCCATTCCCATTTTTTTTCTTTCTTCCCATTTTTTCCGTGCTCAACATGGCGTTTGAAGTTTCACCAGAGTTTCGTTTTCGTATATCCTCTCCAATGATTAAGTCATGAATGCCTTCAAAAGTGAGTTTAGAATTTCCTGATGAACTACTAACAATTGTGACTGTTCCTGACCAACTTTCTAGTAATGAGGATAACAAGAGCAAAGCCTGAACTTCATCGTCAAACTTAATATTCACCGACAACAACTGGGATATTATAGTATTGAATTTGTCTATATGCGAAGTAACAGACACATATTCTTTCATTCTCGTATTCACCAACTGTCTTATCAGAAATACCTTGTTGGAAGCAGATGGCTTCGCGTACATGTTTGTCAACGTCTTCATCAACCCATATGCGGTAGTCTCCTTCAGAATGTTGAGTCCAACGTTTTTGGCTAGCGTAGATCTGATAACTGACAGGGCTTTCTTGTTAAGGATTGTCCATTCATCGTAGCTTATCTTCTCAGGTCGTCTTCCTGTCAAAGGCAAATCCAGATCCTTCTGGCAAAGCAAATCCTCGACTTGCACCTTCCACCAACCGAAATCTTTTCCGTCGAACTTATCAATCTTGGACTTTTCGTCCCCAGACATGATTTAATCATGCAAATATGAATTCTGCAATTTGCGAGATGCGTCAGATCGGATCTATAGCGTGCTGTTAGCGATCAGGGCTGCTGAGTAGATTGGACGACGCTGCTGTGGGATCTGACGTGCTGATGGATTTGACGCGCTGACAGGTCTAACACATTGACGGATCTGACAGGTTTGACGAGTTCTGACGCTGCTGTTCTTGAACAAGTGTGACTCGTGCAAGCAACCTCACTATAATATCACTTGTTAGGATTAACTCTCACACATACACAAATAAGAAAACATAACACAAATATTTACGTTGTTCAGCCGATACGAATTATCAACCTACGTCCACGGGGGCAACCAAGAATTTTTTCTTATTACTTCAATATAAGGCGAAACAGATTTTACAAGTACAAGATGAATATTTAAACACTGTTTAGGGTTAATAACAATTGGACCCAAACTCCTAAGCCATAAACGTATTTATAAACTAAGTTTAGAGTTAATCACAATTGAGTCAAACTCCTCTTAAGCTTATTAGGCCTACACTTGACAAAGGGCTCTAAAAATTTATGAGCCCGAGCCCAAATAGACTAAATACATTAAAGTTGGACTCAGTTTATTAATTAGGATTAATCACTTAAGTGTTATTAATTTCAATCATCACAGGAATTAAATTTTTTTTTGTTTTTCTAAAACAAAATTTTGGTAATATGTAATTAAATACTTAATTATTTATTTTATTTTATTTTTGAAACTATAAAAATCTGAAAACCCGGAGTTAAATAAAACCTAGAAATATTGAATTAACAAGTCCACAAGTCCAAAAATGTCTACTTCCATTCTTTGGAAAAACCATTTACTAAAATAAATATAAATAAATTAATAAATAGATAAAAGCAAAATAATAAATTTGAATAAGATGCCCTAACTCTTCTTCTCTCTCTTCCTCGTCCACACTTTTTCTGGTCGGCTGTGCTGTGGACTATTATTCATTCATTCGCCATTCCCACTTCCTTCAAACTCCCATTTCCTTGCCATAACCGCTCCCTATTTTCCATTCATCGCAACTTCAGTTTGACTCACTGCCCCGCGATTCAGCACTTCTGCTGCCAGGACTTCGCCGGAGCGCCGACCAATTTCGCGATCGGATATCATTCTATAACTGCTTTCGAATTTCGAGAGTCGATGTTAAATTTAAAGGTATCCTTTTCTTTTCTTGCTTCGAATGAATGCCTGATTTGTGGATTTACTTTTTGTGCGTTTCTGAATAAGGTTTTGTTAGTTTCAAGGCGTATTTATCCTTTTTTTTTTTTTTTTTGTGAACTTAATTGTTAGGTTATTTTGGACTCGGATGGATCTCCATTGTTGCTTGCTTATTGATTGTGCTTAATTTTGTTACTTTTTCTGCGTTTCAGCGGTGAAAATTGATCTGCCAACTGGTTTTAGGTTGTGTAATTCCTTTGAATAGTTAATGGAGGAACTGAATCAGATGTGATTAACAGTTGGGGATAAGCTGGGCAGTAGAGTGTAGAGAGCAGTTTTGTGTGTGTGTGTTTCAAGAATTGACTTTCTTGCAAATAGAAATGTTGAATAAGTTCATGAAAAGAGGGCATCGAAGATCCATGAAATCGGAAGCAATCGAGCCTCCAATACCCATGTCGTCTACATCTGCAGTGACTGTTAATCACGCATCCCGACTATCTGCTTCGGCGCCGCAACCGATGTCTTTCGCAAACATTCCACAAAACAAAGGGACAGTCGAGGTCCTGCCGCTGTTAAGGGATGTCCCGATGTCAGACCGGCATAATATGTTCATTCGCAAAGTGCAAATCTGTTGCGTCATCTTTGACTTTGCCGACACAATGAAATCCATACGTGAGAAAGAGATCAAGAGACAAACCCTTGCTGAGCTTGTGGATTTGGTTCAGTCGGGGTCGAGTAAAATGAACGAGATTATGCAGGAGGAGTTGATAAAGATGATATCCGCGAACATTTTCCGGTGCTTGCCGCCTGCATCTCATGAGAATACGGGATTGGAGGCGGGTGATCCCGAGGAGGACGAGATGTACATGGATCCTTCATGGCCGCACCTCCAGCTCGTATATGATTTGCTCCTAAAATACGTGGTTTCAACTGACACCGACACTAAGATTGCCAAGAGATATCTTGATCATTCATTTGTCCTGAAGTTGCTTAATTTATTCGATTCTGAGGACATGAGGGAGCGTGAGTATCTAAAGACAATACTTCACCGGATATATGGGAGATTTATGGTTCATCGACCCTTTATAAGGAATGCAATAAACAACATCTTTTTTAGATTCATATTCGAGACAGAAAGGTACAACGGCGTTGGTGAGTTATTGGAGATTCTTGGAAGCATAATAAATGGATTTGTAATGCCGATGAAAGAAGAGCACAAATTGTTTCTTGTGCGAGCGCTCATTCCACTGCATAAGCCTAAATCCATTGCGTCATACCATATGCAGTTATCGTATTGCATAACCCAGTTTGTTGAGAAAGATTGCAGATTAGCTGATACGGTCATTCGAGGGATATTAAAGTATTGGCCTGTAACGAATTGTGGGAAGGAAGTTCTCTTCCTTGGGGAATTGGAAGAGGTTTTGGAGGTCACACAATCTGCAGAGTTCCAGCGTTGCATGGTTCCTCTATTTCGGCAAATTGGAAGAAGCCTCAATAGTTTCCATTTTCAGGTTTGAAACTTTATCGATGTGTTTTCATTTCATTTGGGACTAATGCTTTTGAGCTCCGTTTTCGATTTTTTTTTTTTCTTGATGTTCGTTATCATTTTTTTTTGCTTCAGTTAGTTCAGTTAAAGTATAATCCTTATTATGCATGACGTAATATACTGAAATAATCATATTTCAAGAATGTGCGGAACAATGATGTTGATAGTGATCAACTATTGCTTCTTAAAATAAAATCAGATTAGAGACATTGCTTATCCCTAGAACTTGCTCGATCATATTACTAATAGTATTATTATTATTGCCCCTGTCGATGTTAAGCTGATATGAGACTTTTTTCCGCATAATATGATTACTCAACCTTTCAATAACTCTACCTTTTTCTAGGCTGCTTTTATTTTTCATGAATAAGAATGACGTTACAATCATTAAGTCCTAGCTTCCAATTTATGCTGGTTGATGATGGGGTATTAGAAAATAGTAAATAGTTATTAATTGGTTGTTGGAAACACGTATAGATTTGGTAGCATGTGATCAATCTTGTTGACTGATAAAATCATGAATGAAAATATTATAACTTTGACTGTAGGAATTAAATTTAACGCACCTTTTTCTATCTAGTTGTGTACTTATTTGCCACAAGTTTTGTACGTTTATTTGTATGCTTTACAAAAGGTGTAAGGCTTTTAACAGTCTTAACAATTTGTGTAGGACTTGTTTAGATCGTTGTTGATGGAGATGTCTTTAGATGACGTTTAACCTAAAAAATATGAATATTTGAGAAACTTCAATTTGGTTGTGTTAAAGCTTACCAACTTTAGAATAAGTACTTTTATAACGTTATTTAGGACAATAATCATGGCTACACAGAGTTTATTGTAAATATGATATGAGATCGCTATTGTGCAGACAAGCCTTAGTTTGTTGTTGATGGAGATGTCTTTTGTTAGAAAAAGATTGAATTGAAGTAGGTTTTTAATGTGATATTAGTAGGTATTTGATTTGATGTGTAGAAATGTAATATTTAATTTGAAACTAGGTGTTCAATACAATGTTTTATAGGGGATTTTTTATTTTTAATTTTTCGGTGACAATACTTCTAAGATAGGATTGAAAACACAACAAACAAACTCTAATTCATTTGTGCATATAGGATTTGCTTTTTCCATATGGGTGTGTTTGCTCGAGGGTTCTGGATTTTGGGTTGGGATTTGAATAGTAAAAATTTTGAATTTGAATAGCTGTATGATGTGATATAATAAGAATTGATATGATGTTTTGAATGTAAAATTGATTTTTAGTATAATATAAAAAATAAAAAATAAATGTTTGATTTGATTTTTTTGAGGGAAAATTTTTTGGGAATAATAGAAATCCCACAAAATCCCTCAAACAAACACACCCATAGTGAAATCATGAGTGGAAGGACCATAGTAACAAATTAATTAATCTTGTGTTCAATCATATTATGGACACGAAATTCTCAATAATTCCAACAGTTATTGAACACTAGAATTTAGTTACAGTTTTCAACTGGAACTCTTGATTCTAAGTAAATTGATAGTAGCTATCCATTCATAACACATGGGCTTAAACAATCACATCCTGCTGCAAAATCTTTGGCATGAAACTCGAAAGCACAGAACCTCACAACAGAGGTTGACTAAAAGCTTAAGCCATAGTTGTAATAAAATTCTCATAATATAAGACATAGTCAAAATACAGGACATTCTAATTCTAAAAATGAATGGTACTTAGGGTGTGATTGGTAGAGAGACTTGAGAGTAGAGAAATGAAAATATATATATATATTTTTTTTGTTTGTTTGAGTAGAGAAATGAAAAAATATATATATATATTTTTGTTTGTTTGAGTAGAGAAATCAAACTTGAGAAATAAATAATTTTCATTTATATTCCATATTGTTTTTTTTTAAAAAAAAATTGTATTATTTAATTTTTAATTTTTAATTTTAAAATTATATTATTTCAATGTTACAAAGTATTTAATTTTTATAATTTTTTTAAAAAATAAAAGTAAAATGTAATTTCTCAAAATGTTGTATCTAATTTATTATTTAAATAAAAAAAAGTCACCAAAAATATTTATTTATGGATTTTCGCTAGTTAAAACTCTCTCTTGCCCAATTAATCATTAACTTTTGATCGATCCATCCAGGTAGCTGCAATTTTTTTTTCATTTGTCAACTGAATTCTCTTTTTTTCCAAACAAAAGAATTAATTATCGTTCTCTATCGAATTCATTTTATCTGCAATTCTGTTTTCTATTCTCATTTATCTGTAGTTCCAATTTCTATACCAAACGCCTTTTTATTGAAATGGAAATAGTGGCCTTCTAACACTTAAACTATATAATTTACAAAATCCCAAGCCTCCTCCACATTGATGCTCAACCTAGCACCATTTGTAATTGTGATCCAACCCAATCCACTTCCTACTGCATTTTTTTATAGGAATATAACACATCAGATCAAGTAAGTGAATCTAGCCCGAACAATGCTCACTCTTATGGATTGAAATGTTGTTCCACCAGAAAAGAGCCTGTAGATATCAATTTGTTTATCATTGCCATAGATGTTAAATTATATTTCTAATATGCTTATGTTACGAGCATATATTTACACACAAAAAAGAGTTTTTTTAATATATATGTATTTATTGTTTAAGAGAATTATATTACAAAAATTTAATGTTATGTTCATGAATATAAATTTATGTTTATTTACCTTACCTTATTAGTGAACTAACTGTGTTTGTTTAGTGTTTACAAACAAACTAAGTTTTAATTGAACAAACACGATTCCAATAACAAATGTCTAAACTTGTCTGTATATATAAACAAACTGAACTCGAGCAATCCCTTCAAGAACAACCCCGAAGGCTGTGTTTGAGTCTATTTATGATCGTTCATATACTCCTGACCAACTCTTGTATGCATTTAGGTTTAATCTACATTGTGTTTTAGATGACGTTTAACCTAAAAATATGAATATTTAAGAAACTTCGATTTGGTTGTGTTAAAGCTTACCAACTTTAGAATAAGTACTTTTATAACGTTATTTAGAACAATAATCATGGCTACAAAGAGTTTATTGTGAATATGATAGGAGATCGCCATTGTGCAGACAAGCCTTAGATCGTTGTTGATGGAGTGTCCCTATTTAATTTTAAAAAATTTCGCTATAATTTGAGAATCAGAAATATTTTTTGTATGCACGTCGCTCACAAATTCAATTCATTGGTCAAAATTGCAATACAATATAAGTTCCCCTAAGGTCAATTTCTGAATGTAATTCCTGTAAAATGAAAAGCTCATCCCGATAACAATGGAAAGTGGTTGGCTGGTATCCTGGCTCCAAATTAGTTGCAAAATCTGATTTAATTTTATTATCTGTTTCCTGAATTTATAGAAATTTCCTCTCTCAACATGGCAGGTAGCTGAACGGGCTCTTTTCTGGTGGAACAACGAGCACATAGTAGGTTTAATTGCTGAGAATCGGCACATTATTCTACCACTTATATTTGATGCATTAGAGAAGAATATCCGTAGCCACTGGAACCAGGCAATCATCGGACTTAGCTCCAATGTCCGAAGAATGTTTCTAGAGATGGACCTCGATCTATTCGAAGAGTGTCAGAGACAGCATGAGGAGAGAGAAGCAAGGACCGGCGAATTAGAGGAGCGGCGTCAGCTGACTTGGATGAAACTTGAGGAATTTGCCAATGAGGTAACTGGCGAAGACCCCATGGTTCTTGTTTAAAGATTTATCAAATTTTTTATTTTATTTTCTTTTTGTGGATTTGAAAATCGTAACATGACTTCGGGTATGAGTGAGGCTTAAAAGATATATGGATAATGAGCCGGAGCAACATATGGAGTAGCAGAAAAAAGTTGGTAATGGAACTGTTACATATTGTTCGTTTCGCACTGTGTTTTCTTTCATTTGTATTTTTTTTCTTTTTACTCTTCTGATGTCGCGATATATGTTTATTGTGATGATAAATTGACATTAGTAGCTTTCGTAAGGTGAGATTATATTTTACATGGTTCAGATCATCCCGACCCTGTTCCAAAAATTCCAGTCGGAATTTTCTTTTGATGGAACTGAAGAATAATTCTTGGCTTTGTAAATATTGATTCGATTCATTCTTGTTTGTACTGAATGTGTGAAGTTTTATAATCTCTTCGATTCTTTTTTTAAAATCTTTGAATTATTTTGTATGTAACAAGTTTGAATTTGAAGCTCTTGAAGCCTAGTGATTTCTACAATGCAGATTTTGATGAAATTTGTGGATTTTTTTTTTTTTTTTTTTTTTTCCTTTTCTGTTAATGAGTTTGTGATTATGAATGGATTGTTGATTGAGATCATTTTTGGACTCATTTCTTGTCACTGATCATAACCAATCGTTTTTGGCTAAAAAATGATTGTGCATTTATCATATTTGGGAAAGCATCTAGAATAAAAGTGCAAGGCTCAAGAACATTAGAACTTGCGAAAATGGTTAAATACAATCAAGAGGAACATCACCAAAGAGTAAAGCCACAAGTGAACAATCATACATTATACGTTCGCCCTCTCTATTTCTATTTTTAGCAAATTTGTTATCTTAACTATGTTGACAAATAAACAAATAATATTATTTATATTTAAAATTTCTCAAAGTTTTAATTATATATAAATAAATAATTTTTTTTATTTATTTGTATTATATAAAAAATTTTTTATCATATTATATATTATCTCCGTCCAGCTCTGACTTTAAGGGTCTTATTTATTTTTTGCGTATTGATATTTCAATATGAATTATTATATCAAAAACGTATTACAAATTTAAAAAAAAAATATATTACAAAAATACTTCTATGTTTAATAGAAAAATATTTGAATAAAAAATTATACAAATATTTTGTACAATAATACAAAAGATAAATATAACTTTAAAAGTGTACTTTATTGAAAGATAACGGAAAAGGTCATCCGACCTAGAAGGAAAAGAATATTAACATAATATAAAATACAATGGAGAAACTGACAACACATAATATAAAGATACTCACTATATCTATCTCTATATTATATGTTTGTGTTATATTATTATAATCCATATACGATGTGTATTTATATGAGTTCTTTTATCAATTTTTTTAAAATTTATACTATTTATAAAAAAAAATTCCTACAAATATTATACTAAAAATTAATTTACATTCAAAATATCACATAAATATCTATTTATGTCATATAATACAACTATTATAATTTAAAACTTTTACCACTTAAATCCAAACAAAAAATCCAAACCCCAATCAAACACCATTATCTTATGTTCTTTTGCACCAAACCCTCAGTGTTATACTATTTGGAAAAGATTTACTTTCTTCTTTTCAAATCAATCAGAAGAAACAGTGAAACACACCCTTGGTCTAGTTAGAGCCGTTACACAAACCAAGCCGTTCGTAGCTCGGTTTGGTTCGGCTCAATTAAAGCTCGTTCGCGAATGTTAACGAATCGAGTCAAATCGAACAACATAAATATACTCGTTTGGTTAACGCAAACGTTCGTTAAAATAATATATTTATTATAAATATTATATATACATATAAAATTATAATTTATAAATAAATAAAATATCAATTTAAAATAAATAAATAAAATAATTTTAAATTATATATAAATAAAAAAAAAAATAAGACAAACGAGTCCGAACACTACGAACAAGCTCGAAAGCTTAAGAAACAAACACGAGCCTTGTTCGCGAACGTCACAAACACTTAAAATTCGACTCAGCTCAGCTTGTTGATAGCTCTAGGTCTAGTGGTGTGGGAGATTGAACTTGTGAAATATTAGTTCAAACCTCACACTTTGCAGAATATTAAGTTCGACCGGAGGTTTACCCAGTGTACACTTTGCGGCCAAACAGGTCCGGACAGGCAGGCTGAAACAAGCCTGGTCCGGTTCTAAAAGATTAGCCTAGGCCCAAAAGAAACTCACTTAAAAACACAAGACCACTAATTTTTAACCGATCCCAATCCTGGTCAGGTTAAGCCCAACTCACTGGACAACTTAAACAACAGATGTTATACATATATATATATATATATATATATAACCCAAAGCAAAAGAAAATCTGTCCCAGAAAACATAACATAACACCACAAACAAACAAACAAACACTCAGGGAAGGGAACTAACTAAGGAGGACATGCAAATGCAAATGCAATTCTACTTGTGTTCATCATCACACTTGTTCCAAATCTAGAAATAGAAAACAGGCATCATATGCATACATAATAGAGAGAGAGAGATACTAACTGAGTTGTTTGTTTGCTTGTGCTAGCCATCAACATATAACCAACATAAACGGCTACGGCAATATCAACACCCTTCCTGCATCGAAGAAAACAGATCAATTCAACAATGTCATGGCCACATAGATACTACCACAGACATCCATCCTCCTTTAGTAATGCATTAGCTTCAACAATCAATTAATTATATGGGGATTCGATTACTGACCTCACTCTACAAGTAATATTACCATCCACCCTTGGAACCCCAGGAGCTATTTGCCGGTTTACTCCACGGATCATCAGACTGTCCCTCATCCTTGCCAGAATTCTTGCTTCCCCATCCGTCACTAGCTTCCTTCTTGTCTGCTTCGGGTTTAGGTTGACCCCATCCGCCCTTCTGGGAGGCTTCTTCACCTTGTGGTTGACCCCATCCGCCCTTCTGGGAGGCTTCTTCACCTTGTGATTGACCCCATCCTTGACCGGTATTGTTGTTATTGTTGCCTCCCTGGCCCCAACCACCCTTCTGGGATGATTCTCCTTTCGCCTGACCCCAGCTGGAATTCGTATTATTGCTGTCATTGCTTCCCCCGTTCCAACTGCTCTTCTGGCTCATCGTTTCGTCTTTAGATTTACCCCAGCTTGAACCTGGACCTGAACCTGAACCCCAGCCCTGGCTTTTATTATTGTCTTCACCTCCTCCTCCTCCCTGGTTCCAACTACCCTTCTGAGATGTTTCGTCTTTAGTTTTACCCCAGCTTGAACCTGATCCCGAACCCCACCCCTGACTTTTATTGTTGTCTTCACCCCCCTGGCTCCAACTGCTGCCCCCCTGGGGTGTTGTATCGCCTTTCGACTGACCCCAACTTGAACTGTTTCTTTGGCTCCAACTGCCGCCATTGTCGGAGTTTTTCCATCCCTCGCCATCATTGTTTGAGCCTTTATTCCAGCTGTAGGATTTATCCTCGTTTGAATCATCACCTCTGTTATTCCAATCTCCGCGGCCCCTGCCTCTAAAACCACCTCTGCCGCGGAATCCCTCTCTATCTCCAAAGCCTCCTCCTCTGTCGGATCGTCCTCTACCTCGAAAACCACCCCTGCCACCGTTGAAATCACCACGGTCAGATCCACCTCTACCTCCAAAACCACCACGATCAGATCTGCCTCTACCTCGGAAGCCACCACGATCGCCTCTTCCACCCCGACCACCTCTCCAACCTCCCCTTCTCCCACCATCATCGGAAGGGTTATCTAGATTGTTACCATCTCCAAATCCACTTCCAGAACTCCAATTGGTTTTGCTGCTCCAACCGCCACCACCACCACCATCATCGGAGGATTTGCCCCATCCACCCCCACCACCACCACCATCAGAGGATTTTCCCCATCCACCACCACCATCAGAGGATTTTCCCCATCCACCACCACCCCCACCACCATCATTAGAGGATTTGCCCCAACCACCGCCGCCGCCACCATCATTAGAGGATTTGCCCCATCCACCACCCCCGCCACCATCATTAGAGGATTTTGCCCATCCACCACCGCCGCCACCATCATTAGAGGATTTGCCCCATCCACCACCCCCACCACCATCATTAGAAGATTTGCCCCATCCACCACCGCTGCCACCATCATTAGAGGATTTGCCCCAACCACCATCACTACCACCACTAGAGGGCTTTGCCCAGCCACCACCACCATCATTAGAGGGTTTGCCCCCATCACCACCCCCAGAGGATTTGCCCCAACCACTGTCACCACCACCAGCATTAGAGGGTTTGCCCCCATCACCGCCCCCAGAGGATTTGCCCCAACCACTGTCACCACCACCAACATTAGAGGGTTTGCCCCAACCACCATCACCACCACCATCATTAGAGGGTTTGCCACCAGCATTAGAGGGTTTACCCCAACCACCGTCACCACCGCCAGCATTAGAGGGTTTGCCCCAACCACCATCCCCCCCGCCATCATCAGAGGATTTGCCACCATCATTAGAGGATTTGCCCCAACCACCACCCCCACCGCCATCATCAGATGATTTGCCACCATCATTAGAGGATTTGCCCCAACCACCACCCCCATCATTAGAGGATTTGCCCCAACCACCATCACCACCACCATCAGAGGGTTTGCCCCAGCTGCCACCACCATCATTAGAGGGTTTGCCCCAACCAGATGAGCCACCAAGGCTGGAGGATTTAGTGCTGGACCCCCAGTTAGAATTTGCACCACCCTCACATCCAGAAGCTTTATCACCATCTTTATTAGCAGATCCTTGGTTCCATGCTGATATCGCATCCTTTCCAGAAGTATTGGTGCTACCCCAGCCGGCTTGGTGTGTATTATCTCCCTTTTCCGCGACACCTTCACCTCCACTGCTCCACTTATCCGCAGCTCTCCCCCAAGACTCATCTTTGAGTGTCTCGCCAGACTGGTCCCGTGGAGCCTCAGCAGTTGTGCCCTTGCCCCAGGCTGCTTTACTTCCTGAAGCATCACCTCCACCACTCCACTTATCTGCAGCTTTACCCCAGGAATCATCTTTGAGTTTCTCATCAGATTTGTCCGGCTGAGGGTCAGCAGAGGCCTTGCCCCAAGATACTTGGCTTCCAGAAGTACCACCACTGCTGTTCCACTTTTCAGAAGCCGCACCCCAAGTGCCCTCATCACTGGACTTCACTGCAGCTTTGCCCCAAGAATCATCTTTGAGTGTCCCACCAGCTTCATCAGGTTGCCTTGAGTTGGCAGCAGATGCACCCCATGATGAATTTTGATCCGTAGTTGTTTTAATATTCCAGGGAGAATCTTCAGCATCTGCATTATAGTCAAAGAATGTTGGCTGAAAGCAGTATCACATGAAAAGAACATTTGCACTCCTGCTTTTGCCAAAACAAAGGGGCTTGTGTCCCCATCAAAGGATACACACACACAAGCTCAAATACAATACTTCAGAATAAAACTCTTTGACTTCAAAATAAATAAATAATCAAATATCACTCTAACCAATTATGTACCCTATGCAACTTCAAAATGCTATACAGATATTCGCCTTAAATGGTAAAATCTATACACCACAAAAAATAAAAACAAAAGACTAATACCAATCAGATACTATCAAACCATCTTATCAAGACAAACTTTCTACTACTGATCTGTCCACACATAAATGTTGAATTTGCAATAACAGACAAGTCAACATATCAGGATCAGACAAAATATATTACACTGCGATGGCACAATAAAAAAATGTTAACCAAATGAAGCTATAGAAGGCAGTCATGCATGCTCAAAAGATAACACACAACATGAAAGCATTAAGTAGTGCATACTGCATATGTCCATCAAACAAACAGACAAATGAAAAATAAATCAACAATGTTCACATGGAACAAAAAATTCCATGTTTTTACCCAACTTAGACCCATATAACGTATGAGGTGCTTCAAAACCACTAGATTTAACCATTTTCGAAGCAAATCTTATTACAAATTGTTAGATTAATATATTCTAGATAGATTCATACCTTGATATAGATAGAATTATTAGATAGATAGATTGAGGCACTAAACCAAATTACCTTTCTTGGCATCAACATCCATGGGATTACCAGAACCAGGTTCCTTTGAAAGCTGAAAATTTTAACAGCTAATCAATATGCTCTTTGAATGAAATAATATTTATAAACCTAAATCATAACTGCTCTATAACTAACCGAGAGGTTTGATGAAGGAAAAGATGACCAAGTACTCCTGCATATGCATATTGTCCCTGTTAGCTTGATACAGAATGTAGTATATAGACTGACAAAATAGGTCATCCAGAACACAAATAAGCAAAGTGAATCTGTTTGACAAAATGCTCAAAAAATAAGTATTTCACTCAGCAATAGCTTATCTAGGCTTTATGCCTAGAAACTAAATAAACTTATTACTGGGTATTCTCAGGAGACAAGACATTCACATACTTTCCCTGAACACTTTAGAAAGTAAATTTTATCCACCTTTTTTAGACAAAATTGAGAACAAAATGCACATAACACACTCTCTACAATAACAGGTACTTGTAAACAACTTATTTTGTCAATTTAAAGGTCCAAAATTCAATGCATCGCCAACACATACCACAGATTGTGCTCAGTTCCAAGCAAGACCAATAGTACTATTCTTTCATTGCAATTACTTCAGATATTGAGACATCATAAGTGCGACTTAACTAAAACTATGAAGGTAAGATTGTACATCCTCCTGAACTAAAGTGTCTTAGGTTTGAAACTAAATTTTTTGAGAAATTTTACAGGCACACCAAAAAAAAGTATACATGTATAACAAGTAAAAGGGATTCGAATATGCATTAATGTTCAACCTTTCAGTAGATGATCCTGTATTCCATTTATTATCATCTGTTGACACTGATGCCCCACCAATCCAGTCTTTGAGACAGTAATTATATATCAAAAGACAAGATAAAAATGGTTAAGAATAACAAAAATTACAAGTAAATAGAAGGGTAACCATTACGAATTTACGACATTCAAAATATTCTACCATTTGCTTCATCTTGTCCTCCAAGAAAATCAAACGTCTTGGATTCCTCTCTGTAAAGTACAAAAAATAAAAAGGCAGGATTATTGAAAGCATCCATGAAAATCCATAAGCAAACAGCAAAACAAAAAAAATATATTAAATGCAAGAGTACCCGGGGGCTGGTGCAGGATCCTTTTTAAGAACTTGGGACAGATGATCAGATTTTACTGCAACGGCATAACAAATAATTTTAGATAAGGACTTGTATAACATCACACCAGATCCAATTTCTACCACCATACCTGTAAGAATTCTCTGCTTGGAATCTAGCTTCACAGTGATATCACCTCGACGAACAGCCAAAACTCGACATAGATATCCCTTCAAAGGGCCCACACGGATTCTCAGTAATTGGCCAACAGAGAACTCTTCAGTGTCATCATTATCTGTATTGAAGACATCACAGATGTCACTAAGCAATTTGATGTTAAACATCTAAGTGTGCACATTAAGCAACAAGAAGAGGCCATGTAACAGTAAGCAATTACTCTTATTATTGTCCTCTTGCCAAGTTTGCTTAGGTGACAAAGGCGATTTCGGAGATGGCATTGAATCTGTAAAACCTGAGGAACCTGGGTCACCACCCTGAAAAAGAAATGTAAAATGTAAAGTTGTTAAATAAACGAGGGTACCATTCTATTCTTGTACTGCTACAAATAATTTCTCAAAATCACCAGAAAAAATGACTTAAAAATTCATCAAGATATGTATATGTAAAAGTACCAGGAAGTAGAAAATCAACTCTATTACACATGCAAACCTTTGTATTTGAGGGATCACCAGAAACGTTTACTTTCTCACAATCTTGTGCTTTGACACATGTATAGCCATCATTCTCCTGCTCACTTTCATCATACAAAAAGAGAACCCCTTTGTAAATTTTTTTAACAATTCCTTGCTTGTCCTGAAATGTTCAAAATAATAAAACAAAAATGTTCACTAAGCTTCATAAATCCAATAAAATATTAACAATTGGGAAGTTCTGTAATCTAAAATGCTGCAAAACCTTTAGTGGACCATCCAATATTCGAACAGTGTCATTAATTTTCAAGGTATTTGAGTTCTTATCCGACACGGAGAACAGTTTCTTATCAAATGATGCACTTTTCAACTCTGTTGGTTTACTGTTAACCACTAATGGTCCTTCTGAGCCTTGTCTTAAGACCTAAAATGAAAAATTGATCAGGTATACATCGTAAGATATTGATAACTGCCAGAGTTTATAATAAAAGTAGCTTGTCAACGCAAGAGAGTTAGCACCTTGATTGTACCATCCTTATCAAAGCCAATGACAACACCAAAATCCTTCCGACTGAAAATTTTTAGCATGTAAAGTTGTTAACAAGGGCGGTTGTTAAATCCAAAAAGAAAATTAATTTTAGACGTACCCAATAAATACTAGATCATGCAGTTCAAAATTACTTTCCAGACTAGTACTAGACGATCCCTCACATTTCCCACCACCTTTATCCGGCTTAATTTTCTTAACTTCTTGTTTCTTATTTTCACCAAATAGATCAGAAAGCCACTGAACATCAATAGATTCATCCTTCTTTGCAGGCTCAAACTTCAAGAGCTCATCTTCAGTAGGCATTACACCCCAAAAATTCAATGAGTCAATGGGCATCTTTTTGTACAAATAACCATCCTTCAGCATCATCTCATTAAAAACCTCATACGTGTCCTTAGTATCACGGTCTTGCCTAACTCGGATAAGAGGACGGAACTCCCTGAATGTGCAGGATAAATCAAATCCATTGCATCAGCATAACAACAAAAGAGAATACTACAGAGTAGAAGTATAGAAAATTACTCAAGCTCTCTGGAGCTGATCAGTCGTTGTGGTGGAACAGCAGTCCTCTTAGCAGCAACGCCTCCACCCTATAGAAGCATTAAAATATATGGCATCAGCCACCTTCTATCAGATTCACATGCAATAGTTATGTTCTCAAGAAATAGGAAAATACACAAATGCAAATAGTTGTTGGGGAGCATAAACAATCAAAAGAAAAAAATACACAATAAGTGAAATGATAGTTTTAGCCATAGGAGAAGTCAACAACAATTCATCACTTCCCAGATTTATTCACAATTGGTTCCCAGCAAAAAAAAAATAATCATAAATAAAAAATAATCAAATTAAAATTAAAAACAAAAGAATAAAAAGAACTCATGAAAGTTATTGAACAGAGTAAAAAGTTTCTCTACATTAGCATGTGTGTTTGTGCAGGCGCATGAGCGTGTTTACACTTATACATCTATAGGCATTTGATTCAAAATGGAATGGCAGACATCTCACAACACCTGAAAACAGTAAGAAATGAATATTCTTACAAATTTTTCAGCCATTGCTTTTAAATCAATCCTTGGAATCAATTTCACAGTTACTTTCTTCCGAACTTCATTGACATGTACAACCTGACATATATTGGTGAAATTCACAGAGTTAACAAATTGTTTCCCAGAAATACCAATGAAATATATCAATGTTAGCAGATAGTTTCCCACCTGTGCAAGATCACGTTTATACCTTCCACTCTTCACTCGGGCCCACATACCCTTAGAGATTCCAACTGCTTTGTTTCTTACCGATAGCAAACGGGAAATTTCATTAGTTGGAACCTCCATCACTTTACTGGAATATACAGTCCCAATCCCTTTACATGCCTGCATTTTCAAAATTTCAGATAGCTCTGAACATTACTAAGAGTTCAAGTACATATATGATATATATCAATACACCCGCATGAAACTGTTCATGCATGCATCTAACAAGAAGCCTCAAATGTAGATGGATTATATTCAAACACAATTACTTTAACTAAATATAATAATCAGATACTCGAACAAGGGCAAGAAAATCACCTCATAGATGTCATGCTGTCTATCAGCTTCAATAAAAATAAAGCCCTTCAAGTGATCAACAGCACATGCAGATACAATCTGCAGCTTAGTTCCTTTTTCCTTCAAGTCTACAAATTTTTGCATAAGACAGAAGGCTGAATGCCTCTCACGTCCAACCTAGGAGAAAATTAACCATGAAACAGAAGCATTGATGAAGAATTTAATATAAAACCAATCAAATACATAACACCTAAACTCAGAATCATTTACCATGCATTTGACCCTCCATATTTTGGGATCCTTGTCAGTGGGCAACACGTCAACAGTGTTCTTGAAGTCATAAGCATCTGCTCCATAATGAACAAAGCCAGCTCCTGGTTTGTATCGTTCTTTCAACATTTGTTCAAGCTCTTCTTCCGTCATCTCCTCCGCCTTGATACGTATAGAAGGGTCACGAACTTCCATAAGCTCATTCTCAGGTTCCTCTTCCAAAATGTACATATATATTAAGGTTTATGAATTTAGTTAGAGAAGTAAGAAAGAGTAATACTCATTCAACCATAGAAAAATATAACAAAAACTTCGACTTAAAGCAGGAAGTAAAATACCAAGTCACAATACACATCAACATTTGAGGATAATATATGAGTTATGCAGTTCAGTTAAGGACTACAACATACTCTTTTATTCTAGGAATGTCCTTTTTAACTTTAATAGACAACATATGGTAGCTACAAAGGATAAACAGACTTATAACCACCACAGTTGGGAGCAACCAAAACTTTAAGGAATAGATAAGGTATGAAACAATATCAAATGTAATCAACTAGAAGCAAGAGTATATAAATTGTAAAGATAGATATACAGCTCAAAAGTCAGAATATTCAGAGCAATTGAATGAACACCAAGATTCACATCTCCAGTATATCAAGAGACGGGCTTATATTGCTCCCAAGATCACACACTATATTTAATACTAGTGCCGGCGATGGTGGAAAGATATACAAAAGAACATTGGAATGTTCCAGGTGCAAAGTCAATTTGAGAGTAGAATAATACCAGAAAAAATTGTGCCTCGAAGGGGTAAGTTATGTTTGACAGTTCAGTCAGAAAGTATTTAATTGAAGAATTAGTTTTCTATTTGTTTATTGGTGCAAAGAAAAATGTTGATTCAGTAAGGTAAAAAAATATATTAGATTGAGAGGATGGCAAAAGATCTTCATTTTGTCAATCATATGAAATTGTTAATCAAACAGCAGAGAAGAATGGTATAACAAAAAGAACTTCAGCATTAAGTTAACAAATGCACACAGATCAAAAACAAATATCAAAGTTACAATACCGACTTCCATCTTCACACCACTTCCCTTCCTCTATGAAGTGCCATATTTGTGATTTGTTCTGCTTAAAGGCTTTCCTAAACTATTACTTTTCACACAAATACTCTGGTAATGAGAGTATTAGACAACAGTCCAAATGCTGAACAACTCATTTAGAGAACATTCATGAAACATTAACATCTAAACAGCAGAATTTGTGATTTTTAATATTTTGTATTCCAAATAAATACATAGAAGATGATTACGAGAAAAAAAAAAAAATGAAACTATTCCAAGAAAAACAATGAAACAAACCTACTGAATGTAAACTATTCCATAAAGTAGTTTCCCATAGAACATCACGAGGGAATTAGGAATGCAAGAATAAATTTAACTCTTCACGAATTCAACCACCACATCAATTTCAAATAATTGTCCAAAAACACCACACTAGCACAGTGACATGAAAACTTCAAATCTTCATGAAAGTCAGAACAGATGCCTTGAAACTCAGTTGCTTGTTCCATTTAGAAAGCAAATCAACCTTCATCGGTTTAGTTTCTCATAAGCCATTGCTAAATCAGATTCCAATCTACATATTTCAAGTAAATATATATATCTAACCCAACATAAGACAAACATCTTGGTAGAAACATGAACACTCAGATAAATTTCCAAACAAGTAAGTATTAGTGAGCTAGCCAACAAAACAATTTAGCTTCAAATATCTAAAAAAATCTCACTCACACATGTAAGGTGTAGGCTCAAAAACAAAATTAATCCCAACACTGCAAGACACATAAAATAACCATATGTCACCGATATGGGCAATGAAATCACCTCTATCGAACATTCTGGTTACTGCTGAAATATAATTTCTCACACAGAAACACACAATTCAGTAGGATAAAATCACTATTGAGCATATCCATCTCACAAAGTTCGCCCATCTAACTGGCCATGTTAAACCTTAAAATAGACAATACAAGAAGCATCAAACATGAGGCACATTAAGTAAACAAACAAAACAACTCACATTTCATCTCACCACGCACAAACCTTGTTTTTAAAACCCACAATACTTCCCACAAAGAGCCAAAAAGAACAAGCATTTAACAATAACCCACCAGCCAAAGGCCCCCAAATCCAAAACATAACACCCAAAAAACGCATGTTACGTTAGAAACCCTAACCCAAAAACTCAATCCAAATATAAACCCATTACGAAAACGAACACACACACAAAATGTACTCAACTCATTTCCTAAAATCAACCAAACAAAAACACATAAACCGACGAAAACAAGCAAAAGCAGCACCGGGCACAAAACCCAATGATGAAGCCAGCCCATTACCATCGAAATCAAACGAGGAATATTCGCTGGACTCTTCATCATCCTCCGCCGTGTACGCCGCGTCATCGATAAACCTAATCCCGCCACCGCCACGGTTCTTTCGCTTCCCACCCGTCTTATCAGGATCGCCTCCGCCGCCGCTCCATTTCCTCTTCCCTTTCCCCCCGTCGTCAGTGACCTTCTCTTTACCCTTCCTAGAAACCATTGTAAACCCTCCGAAATTCCAAACTCAGTGCTGATTCTCTCACACTACCCGTCTTTTCTCAAGCCCACCGAATTCAATTCTCGAGACAAACGAGGGAGAGGAGTGAACTGGTGAGAAATGAATTTGAAGTGAAAGCGAGAAAACCGAGAGAAAAGCAGACGGTGATTTTTTAGTATGAGCCTTTTCATTTGAATGGGCCAAACAAGTTTCCCGGACGGGTCGGTCCGATCCGGTCGAGCCAATTTTACCCAAATGGTCTGGCCCGGACTAGATTGGCCCAAACTTATTTGTGGTGTGTTTGTTCGGGGGATTGGACTATTCATCCAATTTTTTTCTTCCAAAAATATTAAATCAAACATCTATTTTTTATTTTTTATATTATACTAAAAATCAATTTTACATTCAAAACATCACATCAACACCTATTTATATCACATCATACAACTATTCAAATTCAAAATTTTTACTATTCAAATCTCAACTCAAAATTCAAAACGCCAAACAAACACACCATTGGTCTATATTTGTTTTAATTTTAGCCTAGCTAAAATTGAAACAATTAAGATTAGTTTTCAAGTGGACCAAGTTATTTATAAACTAGTTCGGTCTAGCCTTTAGGTTTTATCTGCTATACATGATTCATTTAATATAATTTGTCTTTTCAGACCTAATTGCAAGTTATTAAGTTTGATCGAAAGTTTATCCAGAACGCACTCGACGAGCTGCTGCTGCAAATTTCCACATTATCAAAAAATAAATAAAAGTATGGTGGTCCGATAAAGGATAACCTGGTGATCTAAGGGTAGACTTATGACCGTGATGTCATGAGTTTAAATCTCTGATGTCTTCAGATTTTGACTGCCATACATATGACTTGTCTTGTCAGTCTTACCTGCTACACTTAATTCACTGTATGCATTGGCTATTTGGTTCGGCTATGGGTGAACTCGTAATCTTGAGAGCATGAAATTCACTTTATGTAACGTATTTTATAAAAAATTGGATTACAAACTATGTGCAATGTTGATAGGTTATCACAATGCGGTTGTGACACAGTTACCTTTAAGGCCATTAAAAAATAAGAAATCCAAAGAAGGTTGCATATAGAGGGTATACAAAATATATATACAAATGGGCTTGAACTTAAACTAAAATATAAGATAAAAATATACAAAAATATATCTATAGTTAAGACCCCCTTCAAACTTAAGATAGGACAGTCAAAACCAACTTGAGTTTGTCTAAGAGTAATTGGAAGCGGCTAAGAAGAAGAGATTTAGTGAAGAAATCTATTGTCTAATCCGCAGAGGAGACCGGAACGAGATGGACAGTCCCATAGACGACATGCTGGCGAATAAAATGATAATCAAACTCAATATATTTGGTGCGCTCCTGAAAGATATCATTATGTGTCTTCTTCATAGCACTTTGATTATCGCAGTGAAGAGCTGTAGAAAATGATTGTTGTACACCAAGATCAATAAGTAATCGACGTAACCATAAAAGTTCTGATGTAGAGTCAACAAAAGCACGATATTCTAACTTGGCATTCGATCGAAAAACCAGAGTTTGCTTCTTGAGACGCCAAGATATGAGAAAATCACCAAGAAAGAAGCACATACCAGTAGTCGAACGACGATCAGTATAGTCACCAATCCAATCAACATTAGTAACCGCTAAACATCAAGAAGGAACGAGATGCGAAATGTAAATCATGTTAAAGAGTAGCTTTCACATAATGAAGAATGCGTAAAATAGAAGAATGGTGAGAGGTCCTCGGAGCATCCATGAACTGACTCATAATATGAAATACATGAGCGATATCAGACCGAGTGACAGTCAAAATAGATCAAACTCTCAGCAAGCTAACGATACAAAGTAGGATCATCAATAAGAGAGCCATCATGAGAAGTGAGTCGAACGTCAAAGGCAAGTGGTGTGGATGCTATCTGGAAATCAATGAGACTATTCCAATAAATAAAATTGGAAGCTTACTTAGCTTGAGACAGATAGAAACCATCGGGAGAAACAGAGACCTCAAGTTCCAAAAAATAACAAAGAGGATCGAAGCTCTTCATTTCAAACTGTTGACTAATATATGCCCGTAGATTAGAAATATAAAACGCATAATCCCCCTTGATGATCATATGATCAACATAAAGTAAGAGGATAGTTATCCCACGTAGTAGGACCAAACTCCAATAGTGCAAAGCTAAATGTGGCATACCAAGCTGATGGGTATGTTTCAACTTATATAAAGTGTTGCATAAATGACAAACTTTCCCAAAAGACGGAAAAACCTAAATGAGGAGTCATGTAAACTTTCTTAGAAAGAGTGTTATGCAAGAATGCATTTTTTATGTCTAACTGAAAAAGAGACCAGCAAAGAACAACTACAAGGAGACAACGAACATTAGTAAAATAAGCAATTGGAGCAAAGGTCTCCTCACAGTCGACACCATATTCCTAGGAATGACCCTTAGCCACTAGATGAGCTTTGTAGCCTTCAATAAAACTATCATAATTAGTTTTATTTTGAAAATCCACTTGTGCCTACTGGATGCCTTGCTAAAAGTCAAATCCACTAAGTCCTAAATGTGAATCTTTTCTAGAGCTTGAAGTGTCATAGCTTTTACCACAATGTTCAGCAGTTGCCTCACAAAATTACCTAGGCTCATTATGAGATAAAATAACAGAATAACAATGATAATCAATAAGGTGATAAGGGGGTCTACTTACACGGATGGAGCAACGACGATCAGGAAGAGACTCAGGATGAGGCATCGGCTCAAGAGACGCAGAATGATCGACTCCAGGAGATGGTGACAAGGCAAACTGATCAATAGGTGAGATAGAAGTGTTAGGAAAAATGTTTAAGATGAGAATATGAAAAAAACGGAGAAGATGATTTAATATGTATGCTAAACTTGGATAAGGTTGAGAAATAGATGTGTTCCTAAAATGTGACATGACGAGATATATGCAACCTATTGGGGATAGGATATCAACATCTATAGCCCTTGTGTTCGACTGCATAACCTAAAAAACAACATTAATGAGCCCCAAGTTGTAGTTTTGTCTGCTCATGGGGAGGATGAATAACAAAGCATACACAACCAAATGGATTAAACGAACTATAATTAGAAGACTAACCATATAAGCATTTGAATGGACTGACATCATGAAGGGTGGACGAGGATAACCTATTAATAATATAAACAACAATTAAGGTTGCTTCATCCAAAAAACAATTAGGACACTTAGAAGAAAGAAAAATTGCATAACAATATCAAGAATTTGACGGTGTTTGAGTTCTACCCTCTCATTCTGTTGGAATGTATAAGGAACGTTATACCACAGTACCTGACTAGAGAGAAACTGTAAAAGCTACAACTCATTATACTCACAAGCATTATCAATACGAAGGACTTTAATAAAATATGATAACTAAGTGTTAATCATTTAAGAAAATTAAATCATAAAAAATCAATAAAAATACCATAATACTGAAAATCACTTAAAGATACAACATAAGAGGGATCCCAAATATCATAGTGCACTAAAAAAAGGTTTAGTAGTTGTAGATGAACTTTCTGAAAACTAAAAGCAAGTTGCTTGTCAGGTTTGTAATTAACACAATTAAAAGACTCAAAACGACCTGGACATAAGAGACCCTTATTACAGAGAGACTGGACCTTACTAGAAGACGCATGACCAAGACGAAAATGCCAATAAAGACTGTGTTGATCGGAGGTCAGAACTGCAAAGTAGGGATATGTTCGTGGATTTCCTCAATCTAGTAACTTCTTCATCATAGCCTCTGCCACGCCTACACCTACGCCTCCTACGATTCAGGGTACCGTTGTCCACCGTTCATGTCGTACACTTCTCCACAAAATGGCCGTGCCGAACGTAAACACCGTCATATCATCGATACATTCCACATCCTTCTCGTCTCCGCCTCTTGTTTGAATCGCTTTTGGAGGGAAACCGTTCTTACTGCTGTCTACACTATAAATCGTCTCACTTTCTCTGTCGTGGGTAATGTCAATCCTTTTGAAAGACTATTTAATCTAGCTCATGGTTATAGTCTTCTTCGCCCATGTGGTTATGTCAGTTTCGTTCTTCTTCCTCCTTATGAGCGCACTAAGTTAGAACCTCACGCACGTCTGTGCTGTTTCCTGGGTTACGGGGTAGAGCATAAGGGTTATTGTTGTTGGGATCCTATAGGCAATAGATTATGCATTTCTTCCATGTCATATTCTGGGAGAATATTAAGTTTTCTACCTTGTCCCACTTTCGAGTTCTCTTTGATCATTCGTCTTTGTTCTTTACCTTGTCTTCACCATCTCTACTTCCTTCCGATGACGCGGCTCCATCTCCTGCTCCCGATGTCATCTCAATTGTGCTTCCTGAACCGATACTGACCCCGAGCCTGCTACTGCTCCCGAACTTGAGCCCTATCCTCTACTAGAGTCTGACACCCCTCCAACTTCGGACCCTGATCATGGCCCTCGCCATTCCACTCAGGTTAATCATCTTCCTCCTCACTTAGTTGATTATCATTGTTTTTCTGCCACAGTGTCCCACCATGAGCCCAGGTCCTTTCGTGAGGCGTATGCGGATCCATTATGGCGACAGGCTATGTCTGAAGAGTTACAGGCTTTGAAGAAAACCTATACGTGGGATATGATTGATCTCCCCCCTGAAGATTTACAGGCTTTCGGATCAAAACCCACTCTGATAGATCAATCAAGCGCTAAAAAGTTCTTTTAGTAGCTAAAGGATACACTCAGAAGTATGACATCGACTATGAGAAGACGTTTGCTCCGGTCGCTCGTCTCACCTCCGTCCGTTGTCTCATTGTTATTGTTGTTGCTCGTCAATAACCCTTGCATCAAATCAACGTCAAGAATGCATTTTTGCATGGCGATCTATCCAAGGATATATATATGTCTCCTCCACCAGGTTTTCCTACGTCCTTTAAGGTATGCAAACTTCGTCATGCTTTGTATGGTTTGAAATAGGCGCCGCGAGCTTGGTTTTCGAAATTTAGCTTTAATCTACTCCAGCTTGGCTTTACTTTCAGCTTCCATGACTCTGCTCTATTCATTCGACGTAGATCCGTTGGAGTTACTATTTTGCTA